TTTTTTTTTGATAAAAATAAAGATACAATAAAAAGATAATGTCATGTAATCATATAACATCGGGAGACCGGCAAATGAATGAAAGATAAAAGAGAAGGAGCAAAAATTTATAGACTAGAAAGGTGATAATAGAATAGAAAGTAACACAGAAAAGATATGATAGAAGGCACACCACAAATGTTAATCAGTGTTAAATTCCAAGTGAAAACCCTGGCTTAAGGTATAAAGATGTAGCAGAATTTTCTTAATGCATATCTCATGACTTAAATAGTGATTCTGCAATCTTTTAAGAAATGACATTTTATAGAAAATGAAATTCACTTTAGAATATTTATACATATGATGTAAGGTTCTAATCGTTTATCAAAAAAACACATATATAACCATATTATCTAATGACCCACACAAATTCTTGTCATAAAATGTTATAAAACCTTACAAATTGCTTTATAATTTTAAAAGTAAATTTAGAATTTATATCTTAAGTTTGTAAATTAGGAGATCACGTAAACATTCTACAAATAAAAATAAGGCTATTTACACTGCAAAAAAAACCCCATGCACTTACCATCATGATTAGGATTTCCTAGTGTCCATGGCTCATCTGAGTCAAAATGTGTATCTCCTCCAATTCCTGGTCCAGGGAAATAGGCATGTGCCAAAAATCCCCCCTCTCCATCAAAGGGAGAACTGTCTCCATGAAAACCAGATGCAAAAATGATTGTTATATCCACATCGCGTTTGCCATTTTCTAATTCACTGTAGGGAACTTCTTCAAATGTCAGAGGAGTTACATTCTGCCACACATCAAAGGCACGGCGAATAGCTTTACGAGTTTCAGGGTCTCCTACTTTTGGAGTTACGTTCTTTATACTGAAAGTCAGAAAATATAATAATCAGTATAGCTTTGTCATGTGTAATCTTGTAATCTGATTAATTAAAGATTTTGATCTACTTGGTTTAGTAAAATATTAGGGAAAATAGTCATATTAAATAGAAATAAAATTTACTCGTTCCTCTTGTCTCTATAGCTAGATTTCACTACATTGTGATCATTTAATTCTCAGCAGTATAGTATTCATGTACCAAGGCCATAAATGAGAAAATTTCTGCAGAATGGTTAACAGTTGGGTAACTAGATCAACCAGCCACTTTACTTCCTGGACAAAACAGGAAAGCAGATTTGCCAAAAGACCAATCAAGTGCAGCAGTTTTGAGCTGAAATAAAGTTTTCAATTTCTTTCTGGTTATAATTACTGTTAGAGACACAATATTGTATTTGCAGATATCAATGCCAAACAATGTCATTATGCCCTTCTTTATCTGTGAACACCAATTTAGCAGAGACACAGCTATTTCTTAATTTTTAAAGAAAAAGGCAAATAATTATAATTTCTGATGTTCAATTGTTTCTTATTGTCATTTTAGTTAAAAAATGTCTTAAGAGTAAACAGCTGTTTAATAGAAAGATTTAACAATGATACGCATATAAAGAAGGAACTCCGACATTATTTAGTTTGTCCCGATACTAGTAACAAATTGATAAAACAATTATAAATATTTTTATTGATTCATTTAACAGTAAACAAATATTTATCTTTTCTCAATTATTTTTCTATTTTTAAAA